GTGTAGCTTTTCACGAAATTCAAACCAAGCCAATGATAAATTATCAAGATAATTTGGAATAACATTTTCTTCAGGTCCTGTCCTCTATCCAAGTCTGTCGATAAATTACTAACAACTTGTTATACTGTGGGTCAGCGGTAAGTTTACGTTCTTACAAAAATAAAATCCAAGGTTCGATTGGACAGAGCGCAGATAACCCATTATGTAGCTCTGGGCTAACACAGACACAAAAATACAATACATTAACAATTCTGTCGTCCTTATTGCTTTTCTAAATCTGAATCATGTAATGTTAAATGCATAGTTATTTTTATATAAAATGCACAAACTGAATATCCCAAATTCCGTAGAGTACAAAAAAAAAAAAGTCGTGGCTCGATGAAACTTAAACTAAAGAGTATTCTATTAATAACGAAAAAAAATTACAAATTAATATTTAAAAATTCTTATCTTTTGAATTTTGGACAAATTATTCTAATTTTTTATACACATACACGGGTAGTCTTTTCTTTCTCGATAATTATTAAGCTTAGCATACCATAAGATTTGGAAAAGGCAATTATTACTATTTTTATCATGTCGTTGGGCGGGTTTTTAAAATTCAATTGATAAAAATAATGCGAAGTCCAATCCAAGTAACGATAACAAACTAACTTTTGCTTCAATGAGTGAATAACGTTTGTCACAGATTACGTTTACTCGTAGCCTTTCTTTCGAATACAACAGTTAACTTATCGTTGAACAGTACGTCTAACTCCCAAATACAAAACTTACTTGGAAAATGTCAGTCAAAGACATACTAATCGTCACTGCGAAAGTAGCACTGAACTAACTCAATTATTTACTGATTACTTATTACTTCACTGTTTCACTGATTCTCATACTTATATTATTCTCGTTTTCTACTTACTACACGAAATTTCTAGATCAAAACGTCACCGTCATTACTTAATGACGAGTTCACTTTAGAAAACAAACATTTAACTTAAAATATAAAGAATATAGCTTACAACACTATTATCAGAATGATATTTCTATCAGTTTTTCATTCGTGAACGACTGGGGTTTATTTTTCTATTCTAATTCACCCTAACAGCGCAGATTTGTAACGTTCTTGTAGCTTACTCTGCTATGTTACAATGTCTTCAAAATATGTTCAAAATTTTTCCCCTTAGCTTGTTAAAGTAAAGCGAAGAACAATCTCACTCGATTTACACAGATCGTAAAATTGTAGCCATACTTCAGCCTTACTTGGTATTAATTATACTGTTTAAACAACTTTTAAATCACATCTCCCGAAAGCTACTGCTTCTTCTCTGAAGTAAAATTTCTTTTAACTTCGCTGATTTATTTTTAGCCGCGGCATAGCGGCTCCGATTTGATTTTTGTCAAGTACAGATTTCTAGCTCATAGCTCCGTCATCTCTTGACCGATTTGAGATATAATTGCAGTTTTGGACTCAAAAGGTTATACCCTTTCGATTGACGTATTTGACCACGTCCAAGGTCTCATAGATTAATTTACTATAATCCTGCCTAAAACAATTCCAATTTGAGGATAGGCTGGTAAAGATCCTGAGGAGTTATAAAATTGAACCGGGTATACGCGCGCCTCACGGTTGGTATTGCTGGCGCACAAAAATATATGTAATACAAAGGGGGTGGGAGAAAAAAAGGTATCATAGATTAATTTACTCTAATCGTGCCTAAGAGAATTTCATGTGCCGCGGCTATTGAGGATTTCCTCTTGTTTAACTTGTTATTTTCCACCCATATTTTCGGCTGTAACAATGTTGAATCTAATTGGCTCAGTGCCATAGACAATACGGGTTTTGTTTTTGTGTCATATTCCATGACCTGCTTAGAACACTTTAAAAATGACATCGACTCGTTATTGAACACACTTGAAAACTATCAGAAGCTTCATCACGTTTGAATCAAATTCTAAAAGGCGTTAATATAAAATACAAAGGACACCAGAACAATTGAGGTCAAAAGAAGCTATACCTATCTAACGATAAAGATTGCACATTCGTATTTTTTTAGGTTAATTAAGCCAGTACACCAAAACAATGTGGTAAGAACGTTTTTTTATATATATATATTTTATACGTGATAATTCAGCATTACAAAAGTTTATTGGGCTTAACAAATGATAGCTTTATAAGAACTGGAACGCTATCACTTAGCCTCCACGAATGCGGAAGTTATGCTTTGGAGGTAGGGCACCACTAAGTTATCTGATAAGATTCACGAGAACGAAAAGTAAAGCGCGTCACGTGATTTGGAACGAGATGCAACAATACGTCACCTACCACCAATGTAGACAATACTAACCAACTTTCTTTAAAAAGAAAATATGTGACGTATGTGTTTTCATATATGGACACTTTCTAATCAGCCACGTGTAACCTGAACTTTTTCATCACTGTCGTATTTTATCTAATAGCACATCGCACAAATAAGTATTGGTTCATAAATATAAACAAATGAAAATATGAAATTTGAGAAAAGCTTTTTTATTTTGTGTGAAACCTCAAATCTAAGTTTGAACTACGCAAAGGGGATTTAAAAATAAATAGTTTTAGGCTTCGGATTTAAAATGAATTTGAAACAAATATTTTACTAAAAATATATACTAGTTATATTTCATGAAAGAAATGCTTTATAACTAATTTTATAAAAAGGACGTTAACATATATATTACTTATGTCTGTAATAAATCGTAGAGTGGATTTTACCTTCTTTCTGATAGTTTGTTTATAATTAATCACAATGGACTATCTGTACTCTGCCCACCACGGGTATCGAAACCAGAATTTTAGTGTTGTAAGTCCGCAGACATACCGCTGTGCCACTGGGGGGGGGGGGGGCTCTTTCTGATAGCTTTTTTTTTGTTTTATTACAGAAAGAATACTGTTATTTGTTTTGTCATATATATATATATTTCTAAACTAGCTGGAGAACTGGTCCTCTGGATGGAAGTTATGTAAATACATGATTAATGAAAGGTTATTTTAGGAAATGAAAAATTGCTGCCCTTATATGTAGTTGTAAATATATCTCCCCATGGACCCAATAAACCTTCATACCAAATTTGGTGAAGATCTATCAACACCCATAAAAACTGCAAAACTGAACATTTGTATGTACCCCCACATGGACCCAATAAACCTTCATACCAAATCTAGTGAAGATCCATCAACACCCATAAAAACTGCAAAACTGAAAATTTGTATGTACCCCCACATGGATCCAATAAACCTTCATACTAACTTTGGTGAAGATCTATCCACACCCTGAAAAGTAGTTACATGGACATTCAACAGACACTACTATTATATTTATATAGATATGAGTAACAACAGCGACCGTATACCTTCAGCAGAAATACTATTACCTATAATGTGTTTTGTAAACAAAATGTAATGTAACTCAAAAAAAATAAAAAAATACAACAAACTATGCATCACAAGGTAAAGCCATTTTAACTGTGTAACCTCAGGATCCGGGTATAATATCATTAAGAGAATGAATACTGATTATGTAATTTCATTAGAAATAAAAATACTGTGTAACTCCAGCAGAAATAATGTCAGTGGTGTAACTCCAGGAGGAACAACATCAAGCGTGTAACTCGAAGAAAAGCAACAATAACAACGCGTTCTACAAGTAAAGTAGCATTTTCTAATCTCAAGAGAAGTAATGTTTGACTTCTTATATCAGAAGAAGAAGTAAAAAAATGTTAGCTACAAGAATCCAAGCGTATGACCTCAGTTTTTATATGATCTGTGTTGTTTCTCTTAGGAGAAACGACATGTGTAGCACTATCAAGAGTATAAACGAAACGAACATTTCACTGGCTTTTACTTGAAACATAAAACATTATGCAGAAAGTCCATCGCTTTTATTTACTGAGAAAAATGTATTACATTTTTGTTAAATTATACATGTTGTTGTTGTTGTTGATTTAGCGCAAAGTTATGTAATGGGCTATCTGCGCAACGTCCACCACAAGGAATTGAACCACGAATTTTAGCATTGTACGTCCTAAAACTTACTGCTGATCCACCGGGAAACATTACACATGTTAAAACCACCGGGGGGACATTACACGTGTTAAAAGAAGGAAGGTGTAAATTCGGTGACGAGGAACCCACTTTGAGACTAATAATGGCTGGAGACGGCTTGAATGGGTAATGAAGAAAAATTTAATATAAGCTTAACATAACAGCAAATGTACAACGTTTCGACATTTGCTGTTATGTTAAACTTATATTAAAGTTTTTCTTCATTACCCATTCAAGCCGTCTTCAGCCATTATAAGGAAGGCGCAAGTTTAACTTGTTCTCGACGCTGATTTATTAGATACATGATTTAAGTACATAACATACACGAAATAGGTAAGAAATATAAACTGACTGGAAACAAATCAGGAAACTATACATACAGAAAAAGATGGTGATAGGAAAGTGACCAAATTCAACTAGATGCTTTAGACAAGAAAGGATGGTATCCTTAGTTCTTAGTCTTGACTTTACTTTGCGCTATACATTTGAAGTGACCATATTATTAAGAACACAATAACATATAATTAACCTAAATATGCAGAGTTTTACCGCCTTCCTAGTCAACTCTCCCCCTCCCACAAGTGAGTGTCTTTTTTTTTTCGTCTGGAACAATTAAAAATGATATATGTAGATGTATACATCGTAACTGTTATCTAAAGTTAACAGCGAAATATGGCATTTCAGTAACTCAAATATGTAGGCTTAACTAGCAGGATAAAAAGTATATAAATCATCAAACAAACTTCAATTCAGTTACGGTTTTAATTGCTCTAGAAATGTTTTTTTTTTTACATATTGTTTTGATTATCTTTTTTCATTTATACAATATATATTTATGGTATTCCTTAGAAATGTTTCATGTTAACAAAAACGTTGAATAAACTAAATAATCAAGTGTAACAATGAGTATGTTAAAATATACATCACCTACAGAAGTCGATAATTCCTTAAGTTCGCCTGGAGCTTGATTTATGGTATATACTTTCTTTGGTCATGAATTCAGCGTTACTCCTAAATATAAGCTTGTTGACCGTCAAGTGAAAACATCCATCGTGAGTCATGATTGGGCGTCAGAGTTAAGGAGGTGTGGCCTCACTGGTCAACAATAGCTAACAAAAATCGGCCTTACTGTAACAGTTCAACCTTCCGTGACTTCTGAAACGGCTTTGTTTAATTTTGTTCTATTAAGTAAGAGCATCTTAATTAAGATAACTAACCTAAAATACTCCATATAATCGTGATTGAGCTAACATTGCTACTTCTAAAAGATAACAAAAGCTTTTCCCCTTCTTTTACCAAGATGCAACCCACATCCAACCACCATACCCTCAAACTAAGTTCTTTTGTGATTAAGGTATTGATAGAAAAACGTTTGAACGTTCCCTTTCACGAGTCAGACCCACCACACACCTGTATTATCTGCAATACCAATTATATGTTTTACAAAAGAACAGTTGAACGTTTTTCTGAACCTTAAGACATTGCAGATCTAAATAGTTATTCTTCAACTCCATATTCATTAAGCCAAGAATATTCAAGGAATAAGAATTTAGAATTAACCACCTATTCACTGGTTCGTCAACTCAGTATTTACTACTGACATGCCTATTCACTGATTCGTCAACTCAGTGCTTACTACTGACATGCCTATTTGCTGGTTCAACATCTCAGTATTTACTACTGACATGCCTATTCACTGATTCGTCAACTCAGTGCTTACTACTGACATGCCTATTTGCTGGTTCAACATCTCAGTATTTACTACTGACATGCCTATTTGCTGGTTTACAACTCAGTATTTACTACTGACATGCCTATTTACTGGTTTTACAAGTCAGTATTTACTACTGACATGCCTATTTACTGGTTTTACAAGTCAGTATTTACTACTAACATGGCTATTCACTGGTTTTACAACTCGGTGTTTACTACTGACATGCCTAGTCACTGGTCCAACATCTTAGTATTTACTACCGACATGTCTATTTACTGGTTTTACAAGTCAGTATTTACTACTGGCATGCCTATTTGCTGGTTCAACATCTCAGTATTTACTACTGACATGCTTATTTACTGGTTTGACATCTCATTATTT